CTTTTGTATCAAATAAAAGGAAAAAACTAACTGAGAATGTTAATAAAAAAAGAACTTAATTTTCCATTATATAATACCAAGGGACATAACTCTTACTTATTTAGTTCAAGACAGTGAATAGTTGAGAGATCGCAGTTTTATACACAGATGTAACCCGGTTATAGTAATTAACCTATCATTCAAGTCTGAAGTGTCAACAAATCATATGAGTGTACAAAATGATTAATCAGAAAGATCAAACACCCATTCGGTAATAAAAACTGACACTGTCTCTTTGAAAGGAAATGGTATCAAAATGTTTAGCAAAACATTCACACCTTATTTTCAGATATGTACATGGTAATGACATTGGTTGTAAGGGTATATTCCAGAGAGGATCATTTATCATTTTCTTACTTAAACAAACTCTTGTTTAAGTATGCTACCGGAAAGATAAATTCAGCTCTCACAATATTTTTCAGTGCAAATCACTTGAGGTATTTTTTTGATAGCTTTAACATGCTTTTTTCCTATACTCAATAGCACTCAGTACATATGTACCTGTAGGTACATAATAATAGTATTCTACTAACCAATTCACCCCTAATGTCACAATTGAACCTTACCATATCAAAAACTGGGCAAGCCCAGTTTAAAAATGTAGGGGTAAATGAGTTAAGCTATAACACCCCTTTTTAGTTGATTTTTAAGCCTCAAGATCTGCCTCATTTTATAAAATTAGAATAGATTAGCTAGCACAATTACCACATACGGTTAGCATGCACCATAACACATTGTCTTTTCACCAATAGAACTTTATAGTAAGTGCAACATGATAACAAAAAATAGGCTCTTCATCCTGTATTTAGGGTGATCGGGTGGTGCAGTGGATAGCGCACTTAATGCCTTTCACCAGAGTTTAATTGATTCCTATATGGAACATGAAAAGGTATGGGGTCACCTGACAACCCTGTGAGTTCTGGTTTCCTCCCACAATAAGACCCCTGTGTGCTTACATCCACGCCAGCAAGGGTGATTAATATAAGTTGAAATAACTTGTTTCATAATTGTTGTAAAATACAAAAGTTTATATATATTATGTCAAAAGTTGTAATAATGTGAGCGAAACCATTCAATAATGGTTTAAGTATATATTGGCAACCCCATTCTGATCATAGCTTTGATGCTTTTTTCGACATTATGTCTTTACTTAGGACACAATTTCACAGTATTATCAATTTAATATTTTAATAAATGTATAAGGATGGGTCAGGTTTGTTTGAAATATATCACAGCAGATTTTGTATTGCTTAAAGATACCAAGGCATTGTACTACATACAGTCTCACACCTAAAGGGTGTCTATTTCAAATCAGTATGCAAATTATTTTACCCCCGGTACATAAAAAGGTCTTATAAAATTATAGGACCGATAATAATATTCATAAAACATCAAATACATATATAGTGACCTTACTAACAGGAAAACATCAGTTTTTTCTTGATAAAAAATATTTACCTTCATCTTCCCGTCTGTACCTTTCCCAGCCATTAGGAAGCTTGTGTGTTATAATATTTATCCATTATAATTCAAAACACTCCAGCGGTGGGCCATGTTGCCCTTCGGCCATATAAGGAACAAATTACTCCTTGCGATGGTTAATAGCCAGATTGTGTTACAATCACCCAATTATGGTGTACTTAATTCTCAATCTTAGCTGCACATTCCCACATCATTTCCAACAGCTGAAACTTATTAAACATCAATTTCCCAATCTCTGAATCACTCAGAGATCAGATTTTTCCTTGAACTTTGAATAAAGTTATTTCCTCTGGTCTTCCAACAGAATTTCTGAATTTCACATGTAGATTTGTTTCTTTGATAATGTACAATACAATTGGATTTCAAAAACTGTACAGTAGGTGAAAGTTAATTCTCCAAACACTTTTCTCAAAGTCCAAATAAATGGCTCCACCGTGAATAAATCAAAAACAGTCGCACGTGAAATCGCTATTGAGCATTTCCCATTTCCTCTCCATAGAATGTTAAATTATCCTCTTGCCTAATCCACAATACAAGATCAAAACTAGAAACAGATGCTTTCAGTTAACAGTTGATGAAAACGAAATTACAATTGATATCCAACACATTTGATTCTGAACACACACACATATGGGATAGTCACTTATATCAATATTAATTATCAGCGCCATTACCGTACATGTCGGTCCTTTTTCTTTTTTAACTACAAGTGTTTTAAAACTTTTTAATAAAATAATGAAAAATAATATTTCCAGGTATATTTTTGACAATTCAGGCGTGATGATTAAACTTTTGCCTAATGTCACTTTGTAGCTTTTCATACAATACAACATCAAATATCACCTAGGATATATAAAACTGTTGATATCCATTTCAATTGTACCTGTTGATACATATTTGATACATATTTGATATCTTACCTCAAAACCTTCCATTTCCAAACATAAAGTATGGTATACTAAACGCCTCACAACACAGATATAAATAACTGAGTTGGCAGAATGAAAGTCTTCGTCAAACTCCCCTCGGCTCTAAGGAAATAAACTTTTAAATCAGATTCGGAACATTCAGTCGAAATCAATATGTTTCCATTTTGTCTGCATTAGCTGACAAAGAATGTCATCCAGGTGCTCATGAACCTTAACTTCTGGTTCACGAACATGAAACACAGTGTTTAGAAACGGTATTATTTAGCCTTTATGTAATATTGATGTAAATGGCTTCCTGAAGTGAAGGTCTCCCTGCTTCTGACCCAAAGCCTTTATAATAAAAATCCAAGGAGAATGCTGCCATCAGTATAATTCACAGTGAAAACTTTTGAAAAGGTTTATCCTCACAATAACCATTTAAAGAATTGAAACAAACTTGATTGACACATTTTTATATCACATTGCAGTTTCATCCAGGTTTCATCCACATATATATATGCCTTGTTGAAAGTTACTCTGACCTACTTCGAAACATAAATTCACGGACGGACGAAACACAACACACCAGATCAATTTCAGCTCTGATCAGAAAAAAACACTGCATAACTGTAAAACCTGATCACGAAAATGTTTTGATTTATATCCAAAAGTCGTGGCAGACTTTTACACGAATATCTTTACCCTCATGACGAAATCAACTACGTTTCCAGGCAATTTTCTCAGGGTTGTTGAATCGAAATGTTAAAATCATGTTCACTTTAATTCGTAAGTGCCTGTATTTAAATTTGGGTATACAATATTATAGTAAACAAAGAACACTTGAAAATGGCGAAGAGTTTAAGAAACGCGGAGTACAAAGTTCTCAAACATCTTCAATGAAATCTAAAATGTGTTCCATTATAGACCCAGAGCATTTTTATAAAAAGCCTTGTTAGGTTGACCTATCAATAATTTAATTTATTTTTAACTACAATCAATTTTTAAAATTCAAATGAAAAAATATTCATTTTGCTAATTTAAAACATTATTATTCTGGATTGAAAATTTAATACTCAATATTTCATTTTATAAAAATAGAAATATTAAATCAAGTGAAAAATAATTTAAAAACTTAAATTTTAAGCTTGTTTAACTTTTCCTTCTATATTTTCAGCAACAAAGAAAGTTTACCTGGGCAGGAAAATCTGTATTAAGGTATATTGAGTACCTGTGGTTTATCTAACGAGAACAGGTATATTATATAGGTATTGTTATCTATTTCTCACAGGTGGACAAACCTGTTAGCTGTATTGAAAGCACATCATCGATTGATAATGTCAAAAATTGTCAACAGAACTTAAAAGCAAAAGAACGTTCAATATTTGTAGAACTCCTTTTCAATGTTGATAACAATCTATACCTTACAATACAGCTCCAGTGTATGGACAATCAATCATAATAGTTTGTATAAAGAAAACATGGAAATATTTGCTTTAAATGGAATTTAATATTAATCTCCTTTTATGATTATTCAATCATATTACGAGCTAAAGCCAGACTTTTTCCTCTGAATGTTTGCAAAAGTTTTAAAGTTTTGGTACAGTACTACTGTACAGTGTAACTTGTAGCTGGACCACCATGCTAAATAATCAAGAAACGTATAAATTTGTACAATTCATGCCAGACCTTCAAAGAGTCCTACTCTATATATTACTGTATAAACCAGATTTTTAACAAGGTCCCACTGTATTTATTTAAGAAATAATCAACAAACAGTACATATATAGTATATAATGGTGGAATATATATTGACAATTAGAAAATGCTTGAAAAAGGAATTTAATCAAGACCATTTTGGCCTGAGTATATTCAAATAAATTTCAAAAATTTTTGAATCTCAAATTAAAAATATTAACTATTTTTATTTTTTTTTAAATCTGAACTCAAAACAAATTGTCAACATATTCTAAACCTTTGAAGATCACACAGTTTTCAATAATTTTAGCTATGTCAAAATTTAAATTGAACTTTTCTTTGCCACACAAAGCACACTGAAAAGAAATAGGAAACACCCCACCAGACCTTCAATTAGGTCCCAATATATATATTTCTATGTTAATTCAATCAAACCTGTACATTTTAAAGAATATACACGTACAAGTTGTCTCCCTTGGGCTAATATATATGAAGCGATGTCACACTAATATATAATCATTTCTGATTCTCCCAAGTGTAAAAAAAATTATCTTTGCTATTCTTGGTTCAGTAAAGTTTAAACTATATATGAACAAACATTTACAAAAAGATAAATAATTAAATCACTATGGGTGTACATTAACATACTGTACATGTCAGGAACTAAACTATAACAATTATTTACAAAATATGAATTAATATTTTTTAAACTTAATAATAAATTAAAATAAAAACATGTAAGTCTGTAGTCAAAATATGTTGTAATCACGTTTTATCTTAAAGTTCATAGTTCTTTCGGCACAATCCTCTTTATCTGTTATATGTAAGATTTATCGTACAAAAATGTAGACATATCCTGTAAGCTGATAACGACACCCGTTGTATATAACACGTAAGGATCTTGTGTCGGTATATATTTTGAGTGCGACATGCCTGATTTCAATCCCTTTAAAACGGGTACCATGGTTACATTGCCTCAGATGTCTTACTTTATAACACAAAGCCAAGAATTTGTAACATTTCAGCTGTGAGTCTCCTTCCTCAACGAAACAGGTAAACTTATTGTCCAAGTAGAGACATTATACCTTTAATTAGCCTGCAGTAATTGATTTGAGTCAGGTTGTTTATTTCGGGGTTTCAATTTTTTCGCATTTATCTGAAATTGATACAAGTGCTTTAAAATTGAAACCTACAACTAGAATGAATTGTTTGTTTATATACATAGGAAAGACAGTCAACAGAGTTCATTTTACTGTTCAGAGCAGGACAATACAGCTAAACCCTACTGCCAACTGATCTCTCATTGTGTACAAGATAATTTTCCTATCTCGTTTCATTTCCCACACAGGTCATATTTGTATCTTAAGACTGAAGTTCTCAGGTAAACAGAATCTTAACTATAGATACAATAGCTAATAAAACAGTGTCTTCTCAAAAATTCTACATCAACAGACATATGCCCTTCTCATGTCTGAGAAAACTTCCAGGAGAAAATTAAACATTGATACCCCAGTGGTGTTAAGGTTTCAAAGATTCAAATATTACATTCATGATATGTTAGTAATTTATTCATAATACTCCTGATTTTGCAAAATGTAATTTCTACCATTTTGTAACAAATTGAAAACCTTTTTGTCTTGAAAGGACAGTGACCACTCCTGAAAGAATCCGTCAACATACTTTTTATTTATAGTTATATTTCACACACACAAAAAACACTAAATTAAAATTTGATGCAGGCCATCAATCTTTTCACCAAGATTTGCTTTGAAATAAACAATATTGATACAATGATTTTAAGACCCTGGTTTGGGATCTTATGTAAGTTTCCATTGATGTTGGTAGTCAAACCCTTGCCCATATTTGATGAGGCCAGTTACGAGCATTCAAACAATACCAATGAAATGTTACAGAATAAATTGAAATTTCGGGATTAGATTAATCGGTTTTGTATGAATAATAAATACTAAGTTTGTTTTGAATACAAACAGTAATTAAAAACTTGTTTTGCAAGCTTTCGAAAACGTCTGTTTCCTTTGTCAAGCAAAGAATGCATATAACCGGCGTCTGGAGTCTAAACCACCGAAAACAACTGGCTAAGCCACCATATACTAAATCAGTATAGATTCAGGTGTCGAAATATATATATATATCATAAAAAAATAATGAAGATAAATAATAAAATGAATAATAAATCTAAAAACGGAGAAATAGGTTGAATATCGATGTGAAAAACAACAATTCTTCAATCTATAATGATTTAGAAACATATTTAATCATGACAGCAAATATTCAATAGTTATAACATAAATATTATGACTATATAAATGCCAGCTGGACTGGTCAATATAGGTAAATATTATATATCAGGCTGGGATGATCAAACCACCCTTGGGCGGTCACTGTAGGTCACCATAGATTAGATATCATTGTTTTGCTAGAGACTAAGAATATACAAACAGTTGTATGTTTCTTTACTCCAATATCACTATCTGTATGCCAAGAGGATGCATTTGTACTTTTAATTTTCTGCTATCTATTCCGTCTTTGCATATTGCAGAGTTATCTTCTCTTGAGAACAGGTATTGGTTGTTACGTCACTTGTTTAAGAGAGAAACGTCATCAATTTTTGAGAAAACGACGTAATTTTCTCACACAAACCTATGACTTAACAATCAATACCTGCTCCCAAGAGAAGATAACTCTGCAATACGCAAAGACGGAATAGGTTGCGTACATGAAATTGTAAATTAAACATCTTGATGAGTACCTAGTGTATCCTGAATGATAAATATGTATAATCAAACTGTTTAGTGTTTACACAAGAAGCTGGATCAGCTTACATCGAGGTCGACATTACATGAAAACTAATCAAGGTGTATATGATTATGTGTTGATCATGTCTTGTCTTGATGCTTTGCCTGCTGCGTGGTAGAATTATCTCCCCTATACCTTAAGTCACTGCAATGTATTGTCCCTTAATTAGAACAACATGACAATATATGGTTCCATTCAAGTTACCAATATTTATTTATGAATGTCATATTTCTTTGTTCTGAAGAGACTTGACATGCACTTAGGCTAGTAAGACTTTTCATAAAAAATATCAAAATTTTAATATATAAAACTGTTGCATAAATTTGTGTACACCACTTGATCGTCAGGGTAAATACTTGAACACTCTAACCGGAAACAAACCAGGGATTGTGGGTAACAGATCTTTATTTAGAAAACAAAACTAGAAAACAAAACTAGGCCTACAGTCATCCACAGCCCGTACTGGAGAGGATTATAGCCAGCAGCAGGCAGAGCATGCATGGGTATAACGAAACCGGTATTTAGACGAGTTGTATAAAGTTGTAAATAGAACTGAACACTTATCAAATACACATGTGGTGGCTGATATCATAATAAAAGCTCGGACCACAGGCGGTTTATCGCCGATGCACATGCTTGCACAGTAGGCCTTTGGAGGTCTGACAGTATAAGTAGAGAAATGGAAAACAAAGGGACAGTACTACCCCTATTGGTTTTTTTGTTATTGTTAATATTTCTGTTATTACTGTCAGAGTCTTGAATGCCTATGGTGGTGCTGATATGCGCACGTATCATGTACATGTATATATATATAATTTCTATCGGCCCGGGTGTCCTCTGGCTCCTTCACCAGACTGAGTTACTTTTGACAAATGGATGTTCTTTCTGTTCCACGTCAGACGTCTACCTTTCAGGGTGGCGGGGGAGTCGGAATACCCGGGCTATATCTATATATGTGACTCACAACATGCGATACATGTTGGTGTGGGTGGGTGCATGCGGGCATTAACTTGGCTGTGAACCTCTGGGGTATGATATTACTGATCCAACACTTATCAGTTTAAATTAGGTAGCTGCAAATTAAACCAATGAAGGAGCTATTTTTAAGCATAATTGTAGTATGTTGTAATGGATGTCATGTCCTTTATACAAATGTTATTTTTGTCTTTCTCCTGGTTAATGCTCCAACGTTATCCGTATTCTATAACACTGTTGGCAACAACACATGGTTCATCTGAAGTAAGTGGTCTCTCGCAATATACATTGACATAATGGGGGGTGGACACAATTGATGTACTCTCAGCAAATTGTCAGGGTCTTGGTGATGGAAACAAATGTAAAGATCTTTTTGCATACTTAAGAGGTAAGAAATATAGCATTTATTGTATTCAAGATACTCACTTCACAAAGCAGACTGAAGCTAGAATAAGGTCAGAATGGGGATATGACAAATTCAAGAGGGGTGGCATTTTTAATTAATAACAATTTTGAACATAAAGTTTTTAAAGTAAACTTTAAAGTAAAAGTTACTTTAAAGTAAAGCAGGATAACTCGGGGATTTTTTTGGCATTAGATATAATGATTGAGGGCCAAATAATTACACTAATCAATGTTTATGGTCCAAACACAGATACACCATCTTTCTTCGAAAATATAGAAAACACCTTAGATGAATTCAATAAAGATTCACAGATAATATGCGGAGATTTCAACCTAGTTTTAAAACCTGATATAGATTACGAAAATTATAAACACATAAATAACCCAAAGTCAAGAGATAAAGTCATTCAAATTTTGTAGAAGACGAAAATTTAGTAGATATATATAGGTAGAGAACATCACCCTGATAAAAAAAAGAACTATTCACATGGAAGAAAAAAAATCATAGAAAACAAGCCCAGCTAGACTTTTTTCTCACCTCTGAAAATCTGTTTTTGCCCTTTAAGGACCCCTGGAGATGGCCAACCCGAGGCCTTCTTCCTTGCAAATCTGAATCATCATTATCTAGTAATATTTTCTACCAAATTTGAAGAGATTCAAAGAAAAGTATATAAACAAACAGGATGGATTACAAGGGCTCCTTGTCTGAAGGGCCAGGTGACCTTAAAACCAATACTTCCATATTCCTGATTTTAAATCGTTCAGAACAAAATAGTACAAGCTTGAGTCAAAAACTTGTAAGCTAACATCACTTTGATAGAGTGCAAACCCAAAGACATTTGAACACATACAAGAGGACCAAGTTCTATCATGCATTGTCAGCTTGATACTGAATCCGTTATCTTATATGCATTCTGATCTACCCTAGCTAATGGCTTGTAAAAGAAATAGTATTGTCAATATCCCTAAAATGAATGTACAACTATTGGGGCGTAAGCAAGATTTAATTCCCTGTTGTAAATGGCGGGTTTGTCTTTTTGTTGACTATGTTCTTTCATAAAGTCTAAACTGTTGGCGTCGTAGGTAACAAATTACTGATATCAGATTCAGGTAGGTTTGGTCTATAGGAGTTCAATACATACCAGCATACTAACACACATTTATACACAGAACTTCAGCTGAAACATTCATACAAGCTTAAGTTGTAAAACATTCAAGCTTGCCAGAAATTCAAGAAATAATGTTTTATGTATCTTATAACATAATATGAACATTTTTATACAAACCATGTACACAAATTTTATGATTTTGAATTATCAAGATCTTTCCAAAAGAAGAAAAAGCTTTAAATTTGTAAGAATATATTTCAGACATAAGGTATTGTTTGCATGTGGATATGACATTAAGCTAACCAGCCATGGGGCATTTAGGCCCAGATTGTAAGTCTGGGACCTTTAAACATTGATTACAATTTTACTGTTTGGCACATTCTGTCACTGTTAGCATTCCTTCCTAAGTTATAAACTCTAAATGATGAAAGATCATAAAACAGCCATGAAATTTTGATTTGAAAATTTAAACTGTGCAAATACAAACATTTTTATTAGAACTATGAATAATTTTTCGAAATTGATTTTTTTTTTCAATTAATTTTAGATAGTCACAGTAATCCTTGTTTTCTATAGCAATATGGCATTTATAATGCAAAGTCAGTTTGAAGAGGAAGTATATTTCATCATTGTTTCTCTTTTCAGATTGATGTTATCCTATCTATTTGAGAAAAGATTCTAATTTCTAATTAAAGCTGAAACGTTCAACCTGGTTGGACCCAGATTATTTAATGATTCATATTTCAAGATTTCGTAAACTTTCAAAAGATTTTACGCAAGATTTCGAGAAAAATAAATTAAGCTGAAGAGGAAACATGTGGCAGCTATCTGAAATACATACTTCAGCATCCTTTTATGTTTCATTGTGTACCTGAAGTATCCATGACTACCAGCCAAAATTTGCACGAACTTTGGAAAAGGGAATGCTGCCCAACAGCAAAACAACTTCTTATAAATCATCAACTTCCCTCAGCAGTACAACTCCTACAAGACAATCCTGATTTCCCTGGTACTGCAGATGCACTTCTTGAAAAGCACAGCTTCCCAAAGGCAGTGGAACTTCTAGATAGTCGACCTCCTTGTCAATCTGCTCTCGAACTCCTGAAATCTCAACATTTTCCGGTGGCAAAAGAACTTCTACAAAAGCATTTTCCCCAAACTGCAGAAGACCTGCTGAAAGTTTATCATATTCATACTGCAGGAAAGCTTTTCAATAAACATACGGATCAAAATGCTGTTGGACTTCTCAAAAAGTACAATTTCTTGACCGTAGGAAGATTGCTTGAAGACAGAAAATCAGACTGCATTCTTGCAAAGACTCATTTGAAGAAACACAATATTGTGACATGTCCAGGCTGTAGAGTGAGATATTCAGACAAGGTATCTCAGAATCTAAGGCATCAAAATTATTTGGGATCTAACATCGGTGATGCTGAACCTATCTATGCAACAGTACAGCCTAGAAAACAGAGGAATTCTACTACGGTCCTGCACGGACAAATAAACTCATCCCCAGTCCAGCACGGACGACCAAATACATCCACAGTCCTGCACGAACAACCCAAGAAGTCTGAGTTCTGGTCAAACATTACCTGTGTATTATGTCCAAGGAGGAGGCATGGCCTACTTTTGGACGAGGAATACTGTATGAACATAGATGAGGAGGAAGAAGATATCTATGAAGATATAAGCAACATGTCTTTAGTGCTAGCGTGGCCTAATTCAGAAAATGAGCCTCATGCAAATTAAGGTAAAAGGTGACCACCAAGTTAAACCATAGTATTACATGTACCATATTGCCACTATTTTGCAATAATTGTTTAAGAATTTTTTAAAAGAAATATTCCATAAAAATTGCATGTTACCTTGCATTTTATAGAAATGTAGTTGCTTGAAATTTGAATATTTGAAAACAGAAATGAAAAAAAAATGCAAGTTCAACGGGTCAAACTTGAGACTTTTGCATCTAACACTTTACCAACGTTGAGAAAAACTCCTATTGGTTGCTTATATACTCCCAAGTCAAAAACAAAAAAAAATCGCAATTATAAATGTTACAATGGTTTTGTATAAAGTGAACTGCATAAGACTTGCTTGTAGAAGAAGTCTCAGACAATGGAAATTGTATGATAATATACTTTTCAACAAAAGACACTTTCACTCTGGTGTCTCATATCTGTTAATCACAAGTACTCAGTAATATTTACATAAAGGGTGTAAAATATCGCCCGAGATGATCTATATGTACATAGTAGATAGAAATTCAATGAAGCAATAATAGTAAATCTAAAATTGCTCAATCTTGATGTACTGCTCAAGATCTGTTGATTTAATTGGTAGGCAATTATGCTCAATTACGATGAAGATTTACCCTTGAAAAAATGGCAAACTCCAGCAAAACTTTGCCACTTTTATTTAACGACATGAACAACAAGGGTATCACACAGGGAACAGCTTGCAATCCAGACACCATAATGATAAATTCATGAACATCATACAAAGGGCACACTCCAACACAACCGCTAGGGCAACGCACTTGAAAGAGTTCAGCATTAGAAAGAGACCCACCCGCTTTCAACCCTTTCACCCCTATATAACTCCAGTAGACTCTACCATGTATTGATCTGGATGAGTCCATTATGGTCTTCAGTGGTAAAAGGGTTAAACACACGTTAAGACATTTAACCAATCAAACAGGATCAACTTCATTCATACTGGAGGGACACACTTCAATGTTGAAGTCCCCATTGTGTTTACCGGGTGAAAATTGGTGTATGGCCCATATCACCTCATCTCACAGCTCATTTAACCTTTACCACACCTGTAATTTACAGGTAGTTCAATCAGGTCCGCTCAACACCCAGGAGTCTTTAATAAACTTGAAGTGAAGAGATCATGTTGAAACCAATATTGAACAAATGACAATTTTTTCTCTTAAAGGATTTTTCCTTATGATATGGTAGACTAAACCTTTAAAGTAGCCGCTGTCAAACTTAGAATTAGGTCATGAAATTTGATATGATTATGTTTAATATCAATTCATGTTTAATATCAATTCATGTTTAGTATCAATGTTTGTTTAGTATCAATGTTTGTTTAATATCAATGTTTGTTTAATATCAATGAAGGTTTAAAACAATGACAATATCAATGCTTGCTTGTTTATTATCCATGAATGCTTAATATCAAATTAATACTTATAAATATTAAAGAGTGTTTTATAATAACCAAGAATTTTTTATTATAAAATATTGTTATCAATTATTTTTATCAATTATTGTTTCAATTATTGTTATCAATGCTTGCTTAATATTTCTCTTAAATATCAATGATTGTTGTTTTATATCAATGACTGTTTAATGTCAATGCATGTTTAATATCAAGGAATGATGAATATCAATGAAGGTTTAATGTTCATGAACGTTAAATGTCAATGAATGTTTAATATCAATATTTTAGTAACATTTAAAGGGCACCATGCATCTGTAATGCATGTGTAAAGAATTATAGAATACCTAACTGCTATTTTTACAAATATCCAATCAACCTCATAAAATATTTTTATTAAATTCACCTGTGTGTGTTACATTCGTCTTTTAATACGAAAGGTCATATACACTTACAAAACAACATTTTATGGAAATGTTTTATGTCATTTGTCAATTATTTCCCTTATTTGTCTTTGAGCTTTTTAAGGAATTTCAATTGACATTTCAGATCATAATGGCAAGAACTTGATAGAGACCATATATCATTCATGCAGCTTTCCAGATCCAGTTATGAGAAAAATAAAGCAGACAAATATTTTGTTTGTCACATGAATCAGTATAAAAATAATCCCATCTGGTAAGAGTGAGGAAAATATTAGAAAACTTGACGTATTTACTTGAAGTGCTGATTGTCAGAGTTATGGAAAATGCCCATATACCCCATCAAATCGTAAATCAATCTTAAGTTTCATTAAAAACAGAATAATATAATGGCTACATTTATACAGAAGTGTACATTTGTTTACATTGTAATAATATTTCAGCTGGTCATATTTATCCAAGGGCAGTCTTGACCACAAATATGTCCTTGTTGATACTGAATTTGGGAAAACCGCCAATCAATAAACTAATACGTCCATTTTGAAAACTTGTTCCAAAATGAAACATTCACTTCAGACCTTGATAGTTGCCAATGTTTTGACAGGGAAATCAGATTACTTTATGAATGGATTATTAATGTAGCATTAAAATTAATATTTGTATTCAATACAACTTTATATAAGAGCTTATATGACCAGCTAAGTATTATATATATATATACCAGAGTCTATCAGGTAAGGGTCACTTCTGGGATTAATATTTAAATTCAAAACAAAATAAACACAATTTCTGTTTCAATTTACCATTGTGAGAACATAATACACACACATCTATCTTAGAGGTGAATTAAGACATTCTATTTTTTCAGTCTTTGCCCCACCCCGAAAACAAACAAAAGGTTTTTTTAAATGAGCGTTTTGATATTAAATGTTTTAGCCCTCGTCGCTCCTCAATACTCTCACACACTCCCCTCAATCCCTCCAAAAATGTTTTATACCAAATTAAGTTATGAGTACATACATGTGTTGGTTCATTAAGCCACAATCAAATTGATAGATAACAAACATAATTTTTTACAGTCAAGTCTTTTGGACATCAAGTCATTATCTATTTCCAAAACAATCTTTTTAATTAAATGTCATCAGCTACCTAATGCTTCAAGATTCTGTAAAAATTATCATAGAATTGATGGTTCATGAAATCATGACGTGTACCTTACTTTTCAAGGTAAAACAAAGAATCTATTTTAAATGCTTTTTAAACACATTAAGTGTATAAAACATAGAAAACCCATTAAGAGTCTAAGAAAACACTGATATTGAGTTTAATACAGGATGCACGAACAGTACTGAATATATATCCTACAGCTGGGTGACCTTTAACCTCACAGAGGTAAATTGAGATTCGTGAGAGATCGATTGTTTGTGTTTCTGTTTTCCGACCAACCCACTTTTTAGACGTCCTTGACCCTAAAATTATTTTATCTAATTTTAGAAGAGCAAAGTTACATATCAAAATCTTTTTTCTAATATAACCTCAATTTAGAAACATAAAAAAACTTTTGAGCACAGTATTCTAATTAATTATGCACAATTTTCCTTAAATTTGATCTTAGCTTTAGCAATGATATATATATATATTTATTGTACATGATGCTTACAAAGTTTCATTAAAATCCAATGTTGTTTAATTTTTTAATGAGTTTTCACTTATTCCTATGCATAAAAGACAAGACGGAACTGTCCTAAGCATGAAAAGAGGTATATGTAAGAGAAATTTCTATCTTACATACCATTGCATGGTGTCACAATGAACAACGATAACATAACATCACGATATCAGAAACATTCAGATGGCACAGTGGAGAGATTTTTACACCTTTTTATGGTTTCTAAGCTAATTCTGGTGATTAGAATGAGAAAACAAACTCTCCATGATGATGATGATGATACTCAAGGGGTGTAAGATGGGGAAATTCAACCCAAACAGTTCTCAAATTGGGTAAAACCTGCAGGCTAATTCACTGTGCATGAAAGAGTCGAATATGATCTTGCAGAAACCAAAATACAGATGGATGACAGACAGATCGGGACAGATTGATCCCTCCCCATACAATAACACATCTTGCCAAAATTTACTATATTATTGTTCGAGCGTAAATTAAAAGGCAGATGATCTTTACTTCAGATTGAATACTAAGTATAATGACATACTTTTCTTTGATAACAATCGTGATGTTTGACACACGAACCTCCATAAAGTTTCTAATAAAGCATGTAAACTGACTAAATACGTTTCTTATCATAAAATTTTCAAACAGGAGGTACAATTAAATCATATAGGTTACCAAAATATTATATATATGGTTCATACTTTAAAAAAGTGTCAAGTCATCTGGTAAAACGTTTGTAATACTCCATAGCAGGTTTTATTGGACGTCCTGTCACACATTAACGTAACGTCATGGGACCGTAACATATCTACATGTAAATTGGGCAATTTCAGTTTCACGCTTCAGGTAATAAAAAAGTTGTGTAGAATGAAACCAGATGTTTACAAAATATTTGTTCATTCGTGCACATTTACATTGCCAATAAAGATTTCTCAAATTATACTTATAATGTCCAAATCAGCCCTTATTTTTAATTCAGAACGCCAAGCTTTTAAGATTAAGCTAACATAATTAAAATACACTGCACTTTATATCATTAAATTTTATTGCCAGGCGAAAAACCGTTCGCCATGCACTTATAGGTTGACTTCATAGAAACTTTCTTTTGCTGTGACTGTTAGTTAAATTCAAATAGGAAAATCACTTCAAATGTTATTTTTCCGTGTAGATCTGTTTATGTTACACAATGGACTAGCAACAAGGCCAATTAAAATATACGGTACTATAGCAGTTATACAGTCACTGACCAAACAGCTGTCTGAAAGCTTAAGGTGTATAAGTTCAAGCACTCTATCTGATCATCTCAAATGAAGGAGAGTTCCAACATATTTCTAACAGTGGAGTTACTCCCCTTTTATTAGATATCCTTTTTCACACAACCATCTCTGCTACAGGGATTCGTTTGTTTGACCCCTTTGTTATGAAACTATCGCAAAGGTTATATCCAGGGCACTGTAACCAGTTATGATATTTATTAAATGCTTATGCTTTTTTGCAACATTATATTTTAAGATTTATTTCAAAAGGTTTTATATTTACTCCCTTAAAAGCTAAAAGCAAGCAACTTATTGACAAAATATATATATATATATTGTCTGCCTTAAGTCATTGATTCCGCATCCGATGGAAATGAAATCTTATCCTCTGTTGACATGTGAACATGCCATAGTTTATACATCGAAGATTCCTAACAATTAACAATACATAAGTGTTTATTTGATAGTCCAAACATTAATAAAATTTTATTCATAAATCTGATAGGGAGGGGTGGGGGAGGAATCTCTTACAAATATGACTAGGACAAGGATTAAAAAGTTGATGCAAATATATATATATACCACTTAAGGACGAGGTTTAAAATGTAGTAAAATTTAAAAGCTATATGTTGTGAGTTCATTACACATTTATAAGTATACAGTACTGTAGGTCGTAGTGACAAATCAATGTATTAGGTACTTAGCTTACAGATTAACTCATTAGCTATTTTAAATTAATTCCTGACTAGTGCAGGCGTAAGAGGATTTAATTTCTGTAGGAGTAAAATATACAGTTGTATGAGTCGAGAGTGTATAAGTTATACATGTAAAGATCTGGGTCATCACGTCAAACCATAACATAACATATATAAATGTATATAAAAAAATAAAATCACAAGAAGACTGATTTCCAAGGCCTTTCACTGCTATACATCTCTTCAGCTATACATGTAAACATGTATATATATTTCAAAACTATCAATGAAGTATGATAGTTAAAATGATTATAATTCATGTATATTATTTAGTCCTTATATCTTGTCATGAATTATAATAGTGATTCAAAAAATATACTTTCTCCCACAACCACTATAGGTTTCCTCACTCCTGATTCATTGGATAAACCTGCTAGGAGTAGGTAAACATTTTTGGTTACCCACTAGTGGATATCACTCTGGATGTATTTCATTGGTCAACCTTCTAATAATGACGTCATGTAACAACGCTTTGTGACGTCTTAGTTCATGGTAAATGTTTCCCCGATCAAAAACGGGAATAATGTATCCCAAGAGAAACATTAAAGGTTTTCTATAGATATAATATATGAACATTGTGGGACAAAAAATCCCCTAACTTGTGATGGTTGATTATCATGTTTATCTAACTCTCATAAGTTAACTTTCAAATTGTAAAAGACAATCGGTAAACCTTGTGTCTTTATACAATTTGAAAATCAACCCATTCAGACCTAAAATCTCATGTGAACCTTACCAAATCAAAGACTGGGCAAGTCCATTTTAAAAATGTAGGGGTGAACTCGAGTTAAACAAGAGGCCCAGGGGTCTGTATCACTCACCTGGATAGCTAAGCAATCATGGCAAAATATTCTCCAAATAAGATCCAAGGGAATGGGCCAGACACCAGACCCCTACGCCAATCCTTGTAGCATGTATCTGTATCAGAATTTTCATGCCCAGCAATTTTATGTATGGTTATGGGAATGTGATCTCAACTGTTTCCAAGCTGTGACTCAGAAACTAGGTCCCTACGGATTTGGCCAGACCCCAGGGTCTATTCTTATATCATGACTGCATTCATCTCTTTATGCCCAGCATTTGAATATGTAGTTTTGGGGTTGGGATCTCAACCGTTTCAAAGTTATGACCCAGGGGCTAAGTCTCCAAGGGTGGGGCGGACCCTGGAGCCATCCTGAAAGCATATGTGTATTCGTCTCTTTATACACAACAATTGCATATATGGTTTTAGGGTGGGGTTCTCACCTGTTTCCAAGCTGTGACTCAGAAACTAGGTCCCTAGGGATTTAGCCAGACTCCTGGGTCTATTCTAATATCATGACTGCATTCATCTCTTTATGCCCAACAATTGTATATACAGTTTTGGGGTGGGATCTCAACCGTTTCAAAGTTATGACCATTTAGGGACTAAGTCTCCAGGGTGGGGCCTGACCCCCAGGGCCATCCTGGAAGCATATGTGCATTCTTCTCTTTAAACTCAGCAATTGTATATATGGTTAAAGGGTGGGAATCACAACCATTTCCAAGTAATAAACTATTTTTGGCCCGAACCCTTAGCCCGGGGGGGTCAGCCCCACCATTTGTACAATTTTGAATCCTAGCCTCCTATGAATGCTTTCGACCAAATATGATTGATATCCAGTGCATAGTTCAACACAGAAAAGTCGTTTATAGCAATATAGCCAAATTACCCCCTTTTGGCCCCACCCCTCAGCCCCATCAGGGGTCAGCCCCACCATTTGTACAATTTTGAATCCCAACCACTTAGGGATACTTCCAGTGAAATTTAGTTAAATTCCAATCAGTGGTTAAGAAGAAGTCGTTTGAAGAAATTGTTGACGTACAGATGACGGAAGACGGATGGACGGACGACGGACAGACGGCGGACGCAATAGTATAGCATAAGTTCACCTTGGTCCGTCAGACCCGGTGAGCTAATAAATATTATACTTCCACTCTTTGGGAACCTCAATGTAACTACATTTCAGACAGGACTTCTCGCCGTTTAACCCATGTATAGGCAGTAGGTTTAAATACTTCAATATCTTGTGGCTGATAAACATTATTGCTACAAAGGGACCTGAGTATTAGTTTACAAAGCCTCAGTTGTTTACCAGACCGGCCCTGGGTTTTGTTTAATCTGTTGTTGTGTAGTGAGCTAGCTGTTTTGTAAATAATAGATACATAAATAGAATTTCATTTTGTGTGTCGAGTTGATTTAGTGTAGGCACTTTAGTGTTTTCAAATGTAATTCCATGACTTCTATAATAAGTACCTAGATGTTATTTGTTAAAAGATGAATCAATAATAAATGCTAATTGATTTGTGTTTCATATTTATTACACAACATTAGGAATATATGCTCTAAATAGCCTTAGCCTATTAAATAGCCTCAAAATAAATTATGGCTTCACTCGTTCGGAACAAAATATCTTCATATTATGATGATACAATTTTTTCAAATACTACAAATTAAACTTAACACAAATTTGAACTAGATGGCAATTCTTAAGTTCAATGTTATAAATACCTAATGTATATAAACTTCAATACCTGAAATTCTACACTGTACTCCAATAAATCGAAATGTAAAAAGCAGAAATGAAAATCTCTTGTGCAAATGTACATGCATGTATAGAAAACATAAAATACATTTTGTATCTTGTATTCAAATACACACTTGTGGTATTATAAAAAGCTGAAGGACTCGTTCACACAATCAGGACTGTATTCAGTACACCTATTGCAGCTTTGAGGCGGGGAAGTCACCCGAAAATATCACTTTCCTTTATCTAAAACCAAAGTACAGATTGATATTTGGAAATGATTAAATGTAAATAAAACTGTATAGGCAACAGATGTACATGTACAATTGTTTTGAAAAACTGACTATGCATGGGCACAACACTCAGGAAGATTGAGGGTATATAATAGAAACAGATCTGAAATTGATGTTTCAGAAGTTATAGATTTCGCATGGATAGGGCATCACAACATCACACACAGGGAACATGTATACATATAAACGCTAAATTTGCTTTCTATTTTACCAGACCCATGTCATGAAAGTATCAAGTTGAGTGACACAACGAACAACTGACACAACATAATATGACAAACTTCTGCCAAACTTAGATTGTAGGTGTTTATACTTATGGCGGCAGCATTTTGGAAAATTTCAATTTCCCTTCCTGAAAAATTTGCAACGAAACGTGCATTGCTGCCACAAAGTTGTAGAAACCATATTGCTTTGCTGTTTTTGATCTGAATTCAAAGAACTACAAGTTTTGCTGATCATGATCATGAACTTATTATATCAACAGGGTTAGTTTAAATTTCCTTCCATCCTTGAGGGAATTGCAACTGAACAATATCTATAAATGGACTCTTGCTCAAATTGAGGGAAGAATTTGAAGTATATTTGAAGTTAAATTACAACATCCCCATGATTCAGAAATTCTGCTTATATTTATACTAGAATACACCCCAGCCCTTTAATATTTTCAAACCAGACAAAAATGCAAAAATGCCAACTTTGCTTCTGAAAGTTAAAATCAAGGTGAGAAAACGTGTATTGTGAATTGATACACACCGGGTGACACACTGACAATGTTGACCGGCAGATTCAGATGCAATACACATTGTGCATAAAAAATGCCTGAATTCACTCAGAATCAATGTGTAAACAAAAAAATTGCATTTAAGCAAAGCGTACAACACTTGGAAGGGAAATTCACTGGGAAAGAAAAGCAAATTATAAAACTTTGACCAAGAAAAGGAAAGATAAATTCAAAATGGCATGAATATCTTACAAACCATTTAGGAAAGGTTTGGAAAGTGAAAATAGGGAAAAAGTACACACCAAATACAAGGGGAGATTGATTCGCCAAATATGAATCATAATATACAACAACACCAATACATATACATAGAAACCACATTACCTTTTTAATATTACTGGGTTTCGTCTTTAATTGAACTCGCTTGGTTACCTGCCAAAAAGTCATTCAAATGTGAATTTACAAAGTAAACAAACACAGGAATAGTTATCTTGCTGTAACCTCTATCAATGCAAACACTTCCACAACATTGATTAATGTTTTCAAATTGATCCGAGTCAACACAATGTTTGTGTGTGTGTATCTGAAACTTGGAATGAGCTTCGATAGAGGTCTTCACATTTTATCTATCAATACTACGGGCTGCACTCTGTTTGAAACATTAAAAATGTCTTGCCGTATTAGAAAATAAAATATAGCGATAAAACCTGTCAATTAATTGAATTTCATTATTTTTGGTCATTTGTAAAATTGTAAACATGAGAACATATATGGTACATAGACAAGTATATCAGTTTAAGAAAATAAACATCCTACAGATCTCTTCACAGCCAGTGTAACTTAAACACGATGCTTCTGTAAGATTGCTAAGAATAGCAGATACTTAAATAGCACGGGAGTTATATGCTCCGCATGAAAATTGATATTAAAAAATGAAGGGCAATATTTTTTGGGGGTACAAGACCAATTTTAAGTATGCAACACTTGTCTACACAAGATACATCAGTATAACAAGTTTGGTAAACAAATGTGAAATATAACATGGAAATTATGCTCCGGACAAACTTTGGTATGAAATAAAGAAATTATGCAATACCTCTGCATATGTCTGTTGTAAATATATATAAGTATATAAACTTTATTACCTTCATTTAGTTACAATATATATATTTTAAATGTATACAGTGGGGTATGACACCGGCCATTTACAGTATCTGATATCCCGCAAACTTAAGAGGAACTAATATTCAATATTTGACTGTTGATTAAAGAGTATACACAGGAAAGTGACGCACAGACGGACTGAACGACTGACGAATGGAGTTAAAATCTCTCAACGTCCCCTTCGGTAGTATTAGTAACAGACTAATTAATACTTATACCATATTTATATAAATATATACTTAATACAAATACTTTTGTAACACTTAAAGGCTCGTTATTCAGACCTGTTTAAAGTACTTGCTTTGATACAAAATCAGTGACAATCCCATATTGACCAATGGTCAACTTATTCAATATCAATATTGACCTCGTGTGACGTTAATGTTGTTCCGGTTAATTGTATATTTACCTATAAAACTTGGTATACAAACTTTACCAATACAGCACAATGGCCCTCGATATTGAGTTAGTTTGATTTTGAAATGTTTAGATTGTAAATTTTCGTTGTTGAGGTGATCATGACCTTACATGAACTTTATTTTTAACGGCGCCTTAGAAAAGCTGTGGACTTGGAAGGTGACATTATACTCCATACAAATTGTACATTTCATACTAATTTATCGAGAAATATCCCAGATCAAAAGATGTAATTTGCAAAGTCATACAATCAAATTGTTTTCATGACCCGTCAAATACCTTTAATCTTTTCACTTCAGCATTAGAAACTCCTCCAATAATGGTACATCCGTGGAAAAATTCGTAAAAATACAGAAATCTCAAAACTTAATCAAATTATTAAAACACTAACTGTTCCGGAATATAAATCAATTACATCTTTCACAGCATCACAAAAGACATTTTTAAACTTCAAACCACAGACTGCCAGTTTTCAATATCGTAATTAATTATGACAGACTCGTCCATTTCAAAACACACATCTATCAACACTTCGTCACAGAATACTCAATTTCATGTCTGTGTATATACATTCCTTCCATTGATCTCTGTTCTAAACTAGTGAGTATTCATCTAGTCAATAGGAGGATATGTTTGGGTTTTCATCCGATTTATATTTGATGTCAATATTTTGTAATGCTATTTGTAGGAGTCGGAGGACAATTAAGCTACGTACTTTCAAATCGGATGAAATATATTAAAGAAATCAATAAATTGAGACCAGATTCAATATCTTCATAAAAATCTCATTAAAAAAATACCCTGGGACTTTTCTGTCTGATATACAGGGGAAAAATATTTGTTTTGTTTTCAAATGTAATAAAATGTATTTTTCCCTTAAAGGGCCCCACAGGTAAGTTGCATACAACAGATGTTGCTGAGGTAGACTGAAACAGCATGCCACTTAATCATCAACTATACAGCACATACATGTATAATATTGTGTATGTAAGTATCATTTGTCAAAGCAGAAGGTTAAAAACAATGTATGAGTCATAATTATGATATATACTTTTATGCCAGGACATATTGGTGCAAAATACTGAAATACATATGTTCAAAATATTTGTACCATAATTGACCTTACAAAAATACACCAATAAGCTAAACACGTATCTGTGAACTTATCTTAAGGAAGAGTGAACCATAGCATGGACTTGAATCTCAAAACACTAAAGAATTCCTAATATTGTTTATGTAACTTACAGGAGTGATGTCATAATGCATGTCTTAAAATTGACCTATTCAACTTTTTCATTTAATTTGTGATTGTTTAGAAATTACCTCACCAATGTTCTCCTAAATATGTGTTTGCAGAACAGTGAAGCTTAAGTATTCAAGCTCCCAAAAATATGACATGCCAGCCGATCCTTATTAAACAGTGTCTTAAGGTCCTTACTACATACAAATGTATCTCCAATGAAGAAGAGCTCAAATTTGTTCAGTATCTTAGTTTCTGAACTTGGGAGTATTTAAAGTGCTTGCCAATCAACATAATTAAGCAATAAGAATTGATTAAGAAGTATTAATATAATTTCCCTTTTCACAAAAACATTCTCTGCCACCAGAATTTGATCCCAATCATCCTCGATATCCAGGGGTGTAACGCTCACTTTCGCTCTCTGCACCCCTGGAATATGTCATAGCAAAATTGAATGCTCAGTGTGCGCCACCTTGTGGATGAGACGAGAACACTAGTTTGATCCTTTGACGTACATTCAAAAGAATCTCGTGGTCAGGCAACCTAAAAGTTGACAGGCTTTGAAGTCCTGCATCTCTCCTTTGTAATCTTCAAAGGACAGGTATCAGCCTAGCGATTGGTCAGTTTTTGTTTTACCTCAGACCAATCAAACAGCTATCTAGCTTTGTGCCTTCAATTTTGCTATGACATATTCCAGGGGTGTAGAGAGTGAAAGTTAGCGTAACCCCTGGATATCGAGGATGAATCCCAATGGACCCCTTGATTATAAAGCAGGGATCGAGCATATATATGCACATTGCTAAATAGGTCACAATATTTATTATGGTAGCACCGTTCTGCAACACAGAGCTGGAAATAATTTCTAAATGTTCTAGATAACTCCCTAGAGAGACCTGCAGCTTTAATAGTTTTCCCTGCTCCAATATAGAGGAAATGATATAAACTTGAAAGGAAAATAATTTGTCAAAGCCCGTGTCTACAGTCAGTGGAACACAACATCATTCCAAAAATTCAGATACGTTTATACATATCCCTATAACGTTTTTATCAAAATACATAAACATGTATCATAAAACATACAATATGTCAACATTTGATGAAATCTAATTCATAAATATAACATGATGGCCTCTGGAAGCTGAACAAACAGATAGAAGGATGGAAAGACAAACAGATAGAAAGAAGAAAGGATGGATGGTGATCAGTCATGCATAACCCTCTCCGGTAAGTACCGATGGGGGACTCATAATGTATATTTATGTACTGTCCATTGATCCCAGAGCCTTGAACATCATAGCAAGTTACATTGTCAACAAAATAAATCAATTTTCCAGTTTTATGTCAGCTGTCATTTCATTACCAGGCGCCAGGTCAATATTGATAAATACCCAGCCAATGTGTTTAGACAATATATAAGGAGTCTGTATTATTGGAATGCCAAAGTTAAACTGATAAAATGTATCAATTATCTGCAACAGACCAGGTCAAGTTCATACCTGGCTGAACATATTGACACCTGATTAGACTTAAAAACCAATTAGAAACAGATGAAAGGTAAAGATGGCAAAGTAGTTGCGCACATATTTTTGAGAGTTGGGGGGGGGGGCATGATGGGGTTGGGGGTTGCGAAAAAAATATTAGGTCAGCTCAATTTGATAAATTTAAAAAAAAAAAAAAAAAATATCATTCTGCTTTTAGTTATAGGAGGCAAATTTCATTGACAGCTGAACACCTAAAAAGTTATAACAAGTCATATATTCCTTGTCTTGCAAATCTGTTGATTTCAAATAATACTCCGACGCAGAACACATACTCTACAATTTTCACCCTGAAGCTTGTACGCTAATCTACACCATAACAATATGGCATAGTATAACTGAAAATCAAATAATAACAAAACAAAATATTGAATTTCGAGCTTGCTGCACAGCATTCACCGAGCAGACAATTAAAGTGTAAAGTGTTGTCAATATTGTGTGCATCCATGCGTGATAACAATTAATGAATCGTACCCACAACAAGCAAGTACATGTGCATTATACGGCTCAAATTAGATGTTTACTAACATTGCACGTGTCTATAATAATGTCTTGGAATTTGGTTCCAGGTAGTTGACTATTATATAGTTCCGATCTTACGATAATTTATTCAGTCTCATCAATAATCTAAATACTTTGTGCAAATATTTCTCAACATGAAACCACATGTTAATGACGTGTTCGGCTCAATCAATTGAATGAAGGTATCAGTAGAAACGTTAGGGCCCATACTGTGAACATTGAAATCGTGTTGACCTATAAGTTTCCCCGAACATCTTAAGACACAACGTAAAAAATCTTTATGGAAAACAAAAATAATGTCCTCCTACATGCTACAAAACATTATAGGAAACAAATGAAAATAGAAATGATGAGCAACAACACCACTGAATCTGGTATAAAATGTCATGTTTGATTTACATCCTACATGCTGACATCCTTGCAGGGACGTTGGGTCTCCATCCCCTTGTCGTATTATAGGAAACAGTATAATTTGTTTGGCCTGACATATTTCAAAAATATGGGCAGTATTTATGACAGTATAAATGCCAGTTCTTTTGTTTTGCTTTGCCCTATTTACACGAGTAGATAATAGGTGTGAACTCTAGATAAATCTTGTCGCCCTCTTACGAGGCTTTAAGTAAATATCTGACCTCGTTTTAATCTAACCAAATACATATACATACCCCTATACGTTCACCCAGTAACCTTATCAGTCTGTCAAACACACTAGTGAAACAAACGGCAAAGATATATACCATGTAAGTATATAGCTATATATATTGTATATTGGCCAGGTTCTACAGCCCTAATATACAGAAATACATTACTCAAGTTGGTATCTGTGGTTGTGTTTGGAATAAAAATATATTCATAATACATATCTTATAAATTTTCCAAAATACATTGTGAAGTTTTCTATCTTACAACAATAAATCTTGTACAGAATCTATATGATACACAAAACAGATGCAAAAAGGCACATGATTCAAACACGTCAGGATTGCAGGATACACCAAATCATAAACACCTAAAACATTTGATACAGAAATCAACATGTTAGCATGGTGCACAAAACACTAACTCTGAACACGATATCAACACTAATTCAGATGTCTTATACAGAAATCAACTCGTAACATGCACAATACATAAACATCTAATGGGCATGAACAGTCACCCTGAATGGGGTATAAAAATAACAACTCGGATGAAATAAACACACGATATAAACATGTAACACTCATAATACATGTAGACATCAGGACCTCAGTTGCAAATTGCATGATGTATCATATCAAAATGTTAAATGAATGTCATGCATTCATGATTTACTATTCAAACATGATTCAGCATCTGGTCTTGTGACAACGGCATGATATGTATACATGGTTTGCACAATAAGTATACATAGAGTATATGTTTTTATATATATATACATACACAAATAAAGCACACGTACAGCACGTTTAAGTATACAATGCATATGCAGTACACATGTATGCAAAATCAGTTTACTGTAGTGGTTTAGGCCTTGTCTGGTAGCTGGATATTGTGAGGGTTTTGAAAAGACAACTTCCCTATGTATATCTTGGGAAAAACATTTTGAAAAAAAAAAAAAAAAAAATTCTCTAAAAATAAACAAATCAATTATTTAACTTTTAGATCAAAAATAAAAGTTGGCATACCTCAAGTGTGCTGTCCAGGTCTCCTGTGTCGCTGGCAACACTGAACGGACGGGGGCTGACTAGGTTTGGCGACTTAGACGGAAGACTGACGGGGGTTTGTCGTCGCACCTTGGTGAAGGCAGAAGGGGCAGATTGTGCCGAAGCTAACAAACTTTCAATATCCTCTTCCTCAATTCGAAGATCATCTAACTTTAAATCCTCAAGACGAAATCCGAGACTTGTACTCGGTGCGCGACTGGAATAATCCGAAAATGGTGTCATGCGATCCAGAAGTGAAATATCATCATCCTCGTTTAAGGCACTTCCATCATTCACTAAGGCCTTCTCAGCCTTTTTCAGCTTTTGTAAATTTCCCATAGCAAGCTTTTTTGATTCACCTATAATTTTCCGTAACTCAGAATCATATCCTTCTTTGATTTCCGAGAATTCTTTATCCTTCTTGTTTTCATCATCACACTTTTTCTTATATTCTTTTTCAATTTTATCTTTTTCTTCTTTCATTTTTTGTAATTCTTCTTGCATCTTTTTTAACCCTTCCTTGTACTCACGTTTCTTGTCCTCTGTGATGCTCTTGGTTTCTTTTTCCTTCCGGAGTTTTTCTGTCAGATTTCTCATCTCATCCTCTTTATACCTAAAAACCTGCTGTAACTCTTCATCCTTGCGTTTGATTATGTTTTCTTGTAAGATTTCCACCTCTTTTTGTTTTTCTAGACTGAGTTTCTTCTCCAGTTCGCGATATTCACGACTGCGGTCCTGAGCATACGACTCTCGTATTAACTTTATTTCCACAGACTTGTCACGATATACCTGTTTATTTCTTGCTTTTTCCATCTCAAGTTCACTTTTCAGTCGAGCGATTTTCCTTTTGTAGTCCTCCGGGGTATGATGGTGTGACGAGCGCTCTCGTCGACGACCCTCCGACTTGGAGCTCAGTATGCTCATCGGAGTTGAGGCACGGCTTGCATCATTGAAATCTATGTCAAAATCATCCTTAAGACTCAGACGACCTCCGGAGAATCGCCTTGGCAACTCCATGTCCATTCGTTACCTTTGACCTCTTGTGACCTCTCTAGCCATCTATCTAAAATATTCAATAATATTTCTCATGAATGACAAATAAAAGTCATAAAATTTAAAATGAAATATTTTTTCTGCATAAAATTTATTTTACAATCTTTCACTGCAAGTTTTAAAATTTAAATTTTGCCCCATAAACAAGATAAATGGTTGTAAAATGAAAGTCAATAGGCCCCTAGGGCCCATTTACCCATGCAAGTATTGTGGGATGTGTAAACAAGCATAGCATTTCCTTTCGTATTGCACACACAGCTAGCTGGTAAGTATGTATATTATTACATGTTATTCAATAAAGAAAAGCTGTACTGGGTTTTATTCGTGTCCATCACCATGAAATCTTTTATATTCTGTCGGGGACAAGTAATATATTTTACAATTCTAAACAATTTCTTACCCTAACTTGTTTACAACATCGATCATCTGTTCATTTGGGCCGTAAATTGCTAAAGCCTTGTTTGATTAAAAAGAACATTTTCAAGCATTTTGTTTTTCTAATTTATCAGAAAATTGACATTTTTGTGACGACTTCTAATAGAACTTACATTGTTTTTTAAAAACAACAAAATTAAATATTAATATGAATTTGAATTATTGTTAAAAATGGTATAGATGAAAACATTTCAGGATATGTTTTTATAACAGTAAACTAACCAGGCTTTCAAATTTTTTCATTGACAACTTTATACAAAGAGGTCTAACTTGCATGAAGTGAAATGCTGCATCACGTTAAAAAAAATCAATTTTAAAAACAATCTACAAAAATAAATGTTATCATTGACAGTCCCAGGTCATTTTTAATCTAAAAAAAACATAAATTCTTTTTCCAGGATTAAAAAACAAGAAAATATAGACCTATAGATAAGTAATATTTTATGAATATAAAACAAAGATATGAAGATGGTGGATTTCTTATTCCACACATTAAACATCAAAAATTTGGGTGCAAGAATTACGCAGCAAATCAGTCTGTGCAATATGATAAAAGATACAAGAAAAATTACCGTTATTACAAATTATATTTTCCCTTTGAGACTTTGAGAGAGGCTCATGTAGATCTAACTAAAGCATTTATGTTTATGCCCGCCCCCACCCTAACCTTAAAAAAGTTAGGGGGGGGGGCATATAGTGTTACCCATGTACGTCCTGTCCTAACGAAATTCATTGTCATGACCCTACCGACTTCCTTCCTTAATAAATTTTCAACAAAGTTTATACAAAAGGTCAACCTTACCAAAATCTAATGAGGTGTGAAAATTTGATCTTGACCATACAGAGTGAATGGAATTGTTGACTTGTGTGGTTTAATTTGTGAGATATCTTTTACACAAGATTTTTACTTCAAAAGTAGTCAAGCATGACCTTTGACCGTTTACCTTGACCAATAAACACCAAAATCTAAACCAGAGTGAAATTTGATATTACCATACTATGGGTTATATATATATATATGAACTAAATCTGTTCAAAGCAATTCCTATCTATACCCACTCCACAAAATAAGTTTGGCAATTATCATGATGTTTACATTGTTAACATAAAAATATATTGTCTTTCTTACTTTTAACAAAATGGCACAAAAGATGATAAAATATTGTAAACAAGATAAACTGCTCCAATAAAACCCAACCACACATACCTGACTAAGCCATAAATTTAGTATGATACCTTGAAAAACTGTGTAATGATGATATATGTTCATTCAGCTATGAAATGTCTATTCACTGTCAACAGTCGCAATTGACACCAAAATGTTAGAATACTATAACGGTCTATTTCTGAACTACAAAGGTTCTTAAAACCTCATCAATCCCATGAATATTTAAAACCTTAAAGCTTCAAAGAAATTTGCCTACTTTTAATCTTTAACATAATAGATATAATTTAGATTTAAAGGAGAACATAAAAAGACAGTTTTTCAGGATTTGGTGGTGAGTGGTTGGGGGTGGGGCGGGTAAAGAAATTGAAATGTTTTAAAGAAAATAATTGTGTTATCAACAAGAAGTATCAGTTTCTTGGGGAAAAGTGGCAAATAGCTTTTAACTTTTTATGAAAAATGCTGTAAAAAAGACTTTAGATAAAATGTGTTTGATGACAAGTGTGATAATTTTAAACTAAGGTCATTCAGTCTGTAAGATAATTGTTCTGTTTTCCCAATGTATTTTCCTGACCCTGACTATACCCATTAACTGGAAATGTGAAAACCTTCTAATTTAGATAAAAATACCTATATATATGGAGTAACATTTAATAGTAAGGTCTATATATGCTATCACAATTGTTTTTTTCTCTTTCTTAAGAAATAAAGTACATTTGCTGATTGAAGCAATGGAGCAACATGTCATAATTTTCTATTTTGTGTAGTCTGGCCCCCAGACAGTTTCATGGACTAAAAACATCTCTTTATAACTTCAGAATTTTTCAAAGGTTTGGTTTTCGTTTTATTTTATAGGTTTAGCATCCTTCAGTTAAAGCCATTTAAGGACATGCCTCAAAGTGTGTAATGTATGTGTGTATACTAGAGGCGGTATGTTGGTGTACTTGCCTCCTTGCGATAGCACAAATCTGACGCCAACATTAGACTGCTACTTCACTGAAATACCATACCTATTGCACCCAGCACAGTAGCCCACACCAGACATCTACATGTATCTGTCAAAATGTCAAAATCTGGTGTCAGGGCCGGAGGAAACTCGGGCTACCAGGTCAGTATTTCAACCTGTCACATCAAACTGAAATCTTAAGATTTTTTCAAATGAAAGCATTGGTGAAGTTGAAAAGTGTCTCTTTCCAATTAATTTTATTATTTGTGAAACTTTTCTTCTAGATATCCTGTGAGACACAACAAACTGGTCAGATTTCACAGGTTGTCTAAATACACAGGTCTTGTGTTTGGTAGTTTTAGTTGTTATGTTATTACTCCAGTACATCGAATTAGATAGCTTAATAGCTAGTATGTTTATGTACACAGTGGTCCAATTAGACATTATGTCGATGTACCCAATGGTCAGATTAGACAGTATGTCTATGTACACAGTAGTCATATTAGACATATCAGATGTCAGTGTACATGATGGTCATATTAGACAGTATGTCTGTACACAGTGGTCTGATTAGACAGTATGTCTATGTACACAGTGGTCAGATTAGACAGTATGTTTATGTACACAGTAGTCATATTAGACATATCAGATGTCAGTGTACATGATGGTCATATTAGACAGTATGTCTGTACACAGTGGTCTGATTAGACAGTATGTCTATGTACACAGTGGTCAGATTAGACAGTATGTTGATGTACAATTGTCATATTAGACAGTGTTTTATGTAGTTGTCGGATTGTCAGTTGTCATGACAATGTATACAATGGTCAGCTCAGACAGTATGCTGATGTAGTGGTCAGATTAGACAGTATGCTGATGTATACAGTTGTCAGATCATACAGTATGTTAATGTATATATACTTTTACGAGATTATACAGCATGGCAATGTATATTGGTCAGCTTAGACAGTATGCTGATGTACACAGTTGTCAAATAAGACAGTATGCTGATGTACAGACTGGTCAGATTAGACAGTATGCTTATGTACACAGTTGTCAGATAAAACAGTATGCTGATGTACACAGTTGTCAGATTAGACAGTATGCTTATGTACATAATTGTCAGATTAGACAGTATGCTGATGTACACAGTTGTCAGATAAGACAGTATACTGATGTATACACTGGTCAGATTAGGCAGTATGCTGATGTACACACTGGTCAGATTAGACAGTATGCTGATGTACACAGTTGTCAGATAAGACAGTATGCTCACATACACACTGGTCAGATTAGACAGTATGATGATGTACACATTTGTCAGATAAGACAGTATGCTGATGTACACAGTTGTCAGATAAAACAGTATGCTGATGTACACAGTTGTCAGATTAGACAGTATGCTTATGTACATAGTTGTCAGATTAGACAGTATGCTTATGTACACAGTTGTCAGATAAGACAGTATGCTGATGTACACAGTTGTCAGATAAGACAGTATGCTGATGTACACACTGGTCAGATTAGACAGTATGATTATGTACATAGTTGTCAGATTAGACAGTATGCTGATGTACACAGTTGTCAGATAAGACAGTATGCTGATGTACACAGTTTTCAGATAAGACAGTATGCTGATGTACACACTGGTCAGATTAGACAGTATGCTGATGTACAAACTGGTCAGATTAGACAGTATGCTGATGTACACACTGGTCAGATAAGACAGTATGCTGACATACACACTGGTCAGATTAGACAATATGCTGATGTACATACTGGTCAGATTAGACAGTATGCTGATGTACACAGTTGTCAGATAAGACAGTATGCTGATGTACACAGTTTTCAGATAAGACAGTATGCTGATGTACACACTGGTCAGATTAGACAGTATGCTGATGTACAAACTGGTCAGATTAGACAGTATGCTGATGTACACACTGGTCAGATAAGACAGTATGCTGACATACACACTGGTCAGATTAGACAATATGCTGATGTACATACTGGTCAGATTAGACAGTATGCTGATGTACACAGTTGTCAGATAAGACAGTATGCTGACGTACACACTGGTCAGATTAGACAGATTTCACTGTATCTGAAACAGATAAAATCCTGCTCATCCCTAATTACAATACTTCTATTATGAACCAGCAGCAGACAGATAATTTGTTCCCATTCCGAAAAAAACAAAGAACGCCTCCACTGCAGAATGAATAATAGTGCACTGTGAATTCTGGAGTGAACAGTACCCTGTGACCCGTCGTAATGGCTACCCTGGAGAAAGGTAACGGAGCTAAATAGTATCACAACATGCCTCAACAATACAGTTCTGTTTTCTGATCATGGCAAAAGTACATAAATTCTAAGCCCGTCCACTGACAGATCAACGCCATCAAATATTCAGGACGTTGTTTAGGCGGCACAATGGTACGTTGCATGCAACAGGTGTATTAAGATTCTCTATATAAGATAGGTGGTGGGGTTCTTTTTCTAATTTACACCAGCTGTGAGTAAATGTATCTGAATCGATGACAAAATTTAGCGTGGTGACAAAATTGGCGGATCGCTAATAACTTAAGTCAAACCCAGCCGTTTCTCTTCCCATTTGTTTACCATTTTGTTCTGTTATCAATGTATATTTGTTGTGTTTGTCTTAGCATAATTTAACAAAGAACAAAAATCAAATTTATCTACCTGCATTTTAATTAAAGTTAACTCACCAGCATTTTAAAAATGACTGTTTTAATTACAGTGTAGCTTAATTAGGCCAAATAAAATATGTGGTTTGCTTCCGGTTACCCTACCTACCCAAATTTTTTGTGCTTACACTAAACTTTTTGTAGCAGTTTTGAAGGAAGCACTGTTACAGTAAAGATCGCTCTCCAATATAAACGAAAATTAAACTTTAATACCTACATATCATAATTTGTTCACACATAAAAAAGGAAACAAACTTTTTTATTTGGCCTTGTTAACAACTTGGATGCTTTGGTGGGTGTTTTTGTGTTTTACGTCCTATTAACAGCTATGGTCATTTAAAGACGTGCCAGGTTTTATTGGTGGAGGGAAGCCAGATTTTCTTGGAGAAAAACCACCGACCTACGGCCAGTACCTGGCGACTGCCTCACGTAGGCCTCGAACCTGCGACCCAGTGGTGGTAGCAGATTGTCAGACGCCTTAACAACTTGGCCACCGCGGCCCCCCACAACTTGAATGCATCACCCAGAGTTCATAACTTTAGTTCATAATGTCAAGAACGTAAGGATCCATTTACCACTTCCCAAAATCTGTAACTAAGTATAAGAAACTGTTTTCTATGGTATTACTATAGCTGTGGTATATCATTTCTGAAAAGAACACCATACTTTGCGGGACGTTTATTAGAAATAACAAAGATGAAATAAACAAAAATATAACCGACAACAGTGTTCTGAGCGAGTCTGGACCGGGATTCGAACCTTGGACCTCAGATTGTTAGACTGTTACTCTAACCGACTGCGGTACCTAGTCAACGGAAGTATCCTGTCACAACTGTGCTACGGTTATATCAAAATGGAAGTTAAGGAGAAGTTAAGGGGAGTTAAGGGGAAGTTAAGGAGAAGTTAAGGGGAAGTTAAGGGGAAGTTAAGGGAGGGGAAGTTAAGGGGAAGTTACTGTACATAAGAAAAAACAGTGCAGTGAGACAGGGATCTTTAAGATGGGGAGGGATAATTAACCCAATGTCACTATGTATAATATGCATAGAGGTTGACCAATGGATTGCAGTATATTTATAAATTGGTTTTATTGTTTTGTATCTAAAAACATCACTGATGCGTTGTATTTACCTGCTGTAGGTATGTTCAGACTTGACCCAGGTATCCATGGGACCAAACGCTGGCCATTTGGAATTTCTATAATATAACTGGTCGTGTGTCATCCTGTGGTTTTACAGAACTTGTATAGGACCTGTGCTGACTTACAGATGTCAGAGGTTTTTTAAAGAGGGTCCTACATAGATTTTATACATTGTACCATAATAATTTCATGCAAGTTTTTAGGTCACAGAGACACCGATGTAGGAAAATAATTCTACGATTTTGATAAATGACCTGATGCTGACTTAGATCAAGCAAAAAGTATTTGGTGTTTCCAGTTACCCTACCTACCCTAATTTGTTGTGCCTTCCCTAAAAAAAATAAGGCAATTTTTAAAAGAAGCACTGTTAAAGTCAAGATCACTCTCCTATATAAACCATATAATATTATTTGTTAAAATCAAATTTGTTACCTACCCTACCTAAATCTTTTCAGCGTGTTGCAGGAAACACATATTGTTTTGGTCTGGCCTGATGTACACAGGGGTCAACTTACTGTAAATGATAAAATGGCCTTCAGGGCCAGTTGAATTTTATGGCAACTGGCCCAACTAGCCCCTAAACATATCATTTTTCAAACATTAACACATGTTGACTTGTTTTCTTAAAGGACTTATAAATATTAAGGATGTTGCGTTTTATCACGATTTGAATTAATGTTCATGTAAGATGACCATTCACTGGCCCAGAAGGCTTGATGTTCCTTGCAAACTGAACAAGGCATATATATGCATATTTGGGTAAAAAAGAAATATTACAGATCTTTTCCAAATTTTCTACATAATGCATATATTGTGCACTTTGTTTCATGCAAGCCTGAAAGAATGTATAATGGTTGTACAAAAAGAAAAGACACAGGCAGGGATGGGGCAGTTTATAGGCGAGAAATGGTGTATTATGTGTTTGAGAAAAACTAGAAAACCAGAAAAATATTATCTATTCTGATCTGGAGGGTGTATATTCCAGTTTAAATCAAGGGGTCCATGAGTACCATTTGTACATCTATAACTGGTTAGACTAGGTACATGGTGGTGGGGGTGGGGTTGGGGGTG